CCGCCAGCGCTGACTGGCGGAATGGACGGAGGAGGGGGCGGGTACAGCTGGCTCTGCCTTTAGATAGGCAGAGCCAGCTGTCAGTCACGCAGCTGGGCGGATCCCGGCACAATTGTCGGGATGCGCTTCAGCGTCTCAGTATACCGCGTGCTGTAGCTCGCGGTATACTGAGCCTAGGGTGACGGGAGGACGCTAGTTTGTGTCCTCCCGTTACCCTAAGGAGAACTATGGGGGAAAGCCTTAACCCCATAGTTCTCCTTTAACAAGTGGAAATTAGTACCCATCTATCATGGCAGAAGGACTCTGCAGAGCGTCTGGGGAACTTTCCTCCCTCTCCCTGCTCTGAAGTTTAGCAGCTCTTCCTCCAGTCAGGTCTATGTTTCCATGGGCTGGGGGAATACAATGCAAGAGCCTGTACATTTGTGCTCACAACGCACTGATCACAGGTGGCAATGTGCTGTAGGCTCTATTGCAAAAAAAGTTGTAAATGCACATTGGTCACGAGATCAGTGTTGCTGCATTTACTACTATTTTGCAAAAGGTGGACTTAGCCTTTAACTAGTTGACATCCGCGGTGTTAAACCCCCTTCCCCTCCAGGAATGCAGTGATGTTGGCTGAGCTTTAGGCCTGGTTCACACCAGGGAGTTTTACAGCGCTGATCTGCGCGCTGTAAAACGCCCAGCAAGTGAAATCCCATACTTTCCAATGGGCATTGTTCCCACCTGGGTGCATCTCAGCGCGTGGGAACGCGCTGAAAAACGCCCTACGCCCAAAGAAGTACAGGAGCTTCTTTGAGGCGTTTTACCACGCGTTTCCATTGGTATTTCCGAGTGTGGATCGGGGTTAACAAAGCAAAAAATCAAAAAAAAAAAAAGAGCAGAAAAGATTCGCCCAGGTGTGAACCCAGCCTAAGAGATTCCTTCATATCTTAAAGTTTAAACCGTTTTGCCTTTCCTGGCTCCCCTGGGTCTGTGTGCTTCTTTATGCCATGCAGGCACATTATGGCTGGAAGGGGAGGGGGCAGGTTTCAGAATATACTTCTAAACAGACCTCAGTCCTGATGCAATCAGTGTGTTGGATCTTGAGAGGAGTCAAGCTGGAGGAGTGGGCATTCCCTGGCAGGCTACACTTGCATGCAGCCCGTCCACACGATGCTGAGCCTCCATGGGCTAGGAAAAGTAAAGGCTGGATGATGTTGGATGTCCTCCAGCCAGGAAACGAGGTTGGTTCTATTGGACGTGCTGCAGCTTCTAATGCACACTGCAAGAAGCTCACAATGTGCAGTGAAATCAGAGTATGCAATTCCAGTACAAGAGAGGAGCCTCTACAACTGTGCTAGACTTTCAGCTTCAATTATATCATCAATTCCTAGAACAAGGGTGCATAAGGAATGCCTCAAAAGAGACCCTGAACTGTTCACATCAGCATCTATAGGCCCCAGCAAGAGTGATTAACCACCCATCTCAGGCTAACTTGACTTCTCCACAAGAATAAACAGCCAACGCACCTCGGACACTTTCCAGGACTCTAGCCAAATGAGTTGAAAGCTTTGCAATTTTTCTTTTTTTTTTGTATGGTATAAAGAAGCCCATCATCGCTATTTGTTTTCTTTTCATAGATTACAATTTTCTTTGGCCAACTTTATTGTTAAAGAGTAATTAACACAATTAACCCTTGCAGTGGGGCTGATCTAGGAGCTGGATTAAAGAAGATACGTTTACCTGATACTTGGTCCCGCCTGGCTGCTAGACCGCAGCCTCTTCTCCCCCAGGACTCAGGCACCCCACAGACATCATCACGTCTAATGCAGTCTATTCACCTACAATAGACACGAGGATGCTGAATGACATACCACAGCTAGAATGGAGGGGGAGAGAGGTGAGCATTGACTGGATCAGGTGAGTATATCCGTTGTATTCCGGTGCCTAGACCAAAGCGAACAGTTCACCCTTGCAGTGTTGGGGTAGGCCCACTGCAAGAGTTAATTTTCATAATAGCTGGAGTTCCTCTTTAAAATAGGACACCATTGAAGAAGGTATTTCCAAGGGAAACATTCATCCCTCCAGTGCAGAAATGGAAACTTGACATACCTACAGTAGACTTGAGTCAACAAGTGGTTGATGACCTTGTCAAGCTTATATTTTCTGTAGTCTTCCAGTCCATCTTTGATAGCAATGATCATGAGTACAGCCAGCAGGGGGAGCATAGTGATTTCCTTCTGAAAAGCTTCCACCAGCGGGACCCAGTTCAAGAAGACCAGAAAGAGGAAGTACAAGTTGGCCGCTCTAAATGAAGAAAAGAAAAAAAATCTGAACTGACACATCGGTCATGGACTACTGAAAATAACAGCTGTCATGAAGATTGCACTGTAAACCATATACATGGAATAAATGCAGATACCTGGTGGTGCCTACATGCACTTTTCCAAGTCTGCAAGACCCACGTGTCCACCAAAAGCCAAAATTCTGCAAAACGCCAATAGTTTCAGTGGTTGTAAAGAGAGGCTGGCCTGCCCTCTCTTATGGCTTTGACAATACAGAGAAGTGCTGATGAAGGAAGTAATGGCTTAGTATGCTCAGTAATCCTACGGATACATCCTGGGGGCTGATAACAGCTTTTTTAGCCTTCCCTGTCTGGACAAGTGTCTCAGGATGACCAGCAGTCTTTAGACGTTAGCCCATTGCAGGCTACCTAATTATACAGGTGAAACTCGAATAATTAGAATATCGTGCAAAAGTAATTGCAGTAAGTTCTGCAAAAGGGGCCCAAACCAAGTACTGACTACATATGCATGCTTGTACTTTTCAGAGGTCCGATATTGTTCTATGTACAATCCTTGTTTTATTGATTGCATGTAATCTACTTTTTTGAGGTTGTGGATTTGGGGTTCTTGGAGTTTTCATGAGCTGTAAGCCATAATCATCACAATTATGACAAATCACAGCTTGAATGATCTTGATTTGCATGTAATGAGTCTATCTCATATATTAGTTTCACCTTTTAAGTTGCATTAGTGAAATAAATGAACTTTGCACGATATTCTAATTATTCGAGTTTCACCTGTATATATATATTATATATATTTTATTATTTGTACAAATATCCTTTAAAGTAAATCTATAATTTTGTGTCATGGCAAAATAAAATGTAATGCAGCATAAAAAACACACATTGGCCCACTGTACCATCATGAGAGGTGCAATCTAAAAGATTGATTTCATCAGTCTGCTGCAGACAGGAGGAAAGTATTTCATCACACGCTCAGACTGTACATTGTAACAAGGTGAGAGGCAACAGCAAGGGGCTGATCTATGTGAGACAACAGGTTATATATATAGCCAAACAGTCATACAGGGCCCATTTACATCATAGCACTGCATTAAACACACAGTATCCATGCATTAAGCATGCACTATGGTACAGCATGCACTGAAGGGTTGCACTGCCATTCATTTGAATGGCACCCCAACACAACTTATAGCGTACAACGGTTGCAGTGCAACGTGTGGTACCACAATACCATGTGTTGCGTTGCAGTGAAAAAAGTAATGCAGGCACTAAACAATGTGCACATGGTATTGCGGTACCGCACGTTGAGCTGCACTGCAATGCACAGCCACCAGGAGGTGCATTGGGGTGCCATTCGAATGAACGGCAATGCAACGTACCAGTGCGTGGCACCACACTCTAGGTGTGCTGTGCTCTAATGCTATGGTGTGACCGGGCCCACTGGCTACAGTACAGATGTTAAAATTCACATGAACAGGTCATCCCGGGGCCAGCATCGCAGTCCAGTAGGTTGGTGCTGAATGTTTATTTTTTAATCCCCTTAAAAACCATCCCAGACCCCAGTCTAGGATAAGGATCTGGTATTAAATTTTGGGGAGGGACTGAACATTCTTTTTTACATTTTAGACTGGGATGCCTCAAGATTATACTTTTAAAGGGTGCCATAACGGGGGAAAAATGTTGGGAAACACTGCTCTAGACAAGTAGAGACACTTCTATAGCTAAAATATGTTATAAATATTTTGGCGGCCTCCATATCTGTCCCTGTATCTGTTATGCTTACAGAGCTCTAGTATCACAAATACCGCAGCTTACTTAACAAGTCTGTGAACTCTAATGCTGGCTGCCTTCCAAATATTCTGCTTCAATTTCCCAAACGTATTATGTAAAGAGGTTCAGTCAGTAGGAGATGACAATTACATTAGTAAGGTGTGGGCATGCAGGTAGCAGAATACTTTCTATAAATAAATAGTAGCATTTCAGGTATACAATAAATATACTGCAGGTACGATGATCTGCTATTAAAGTAGGATGACTATAAATATATAAACACACATGAAGGTCGTAGAGTCACATGTAGTGAGTGCTGAGCAAACAGGCTGTGTAGGAACCTACCTGTGAAACTGTTCAAATAGGTTCCGTGGTATGAAGTTGAGTAGAGTGTAATTAGTGGTTCGGATCTTGTTGTTCTTGTAGCCTTTAGTTAGCTTGTCATACTCTTCCTTAAACTGATCCAGGTATGGGACAACAACCCTGTGTTTAGGAGTGGCGGTCCCAGTGTTTGTAGCTCTTCCAAATTTCAGGTATGGTCGTAGTGAAGGGGCATACCCCTGGGCTTCATTGCTGCTGCTCTCAGTTTGTGTGACTTGCTGCAATCTGTGACGTGCCCACTGCATGGGTCTTGCCATGTCGATCCAACTGCTGGTCTTCTATAGTCTATCAGAAGGAAAGGTCATAAGATTGCATGTAAAAACTGTATATAGGTCTATAGAAGTTTAAGTGTCAGAGTCATAAAACAAAAATGTCATATTGGCTTTAGCATGCCACTTTAACATCCCTCACCCTGTATCTTTAAATTTCTATGTTCACTTAGTCCCCATAAACACCTTGGAATAGATGCAGAGAACCACATTCACATACATTTCCTGTATGCCCATGTCCACTTTTCATTCTGCCTTCTTAATATCTCCCTTTGTAGTCACAAGTGCTGTGCTCAGAAACTAGTACATTGTTTTTTTTCTCACTATTCCTTCACAGCTCCACCCCCTTCTCCCCAATGTGCTGTCATTCTAAGTTACCTTTTACATGTGCACAGTTGGATAGATGACAAAAAACATTGTGTCTGCGCAGAAGTTACAGCCTGCTCATAACAATTTAAAGGAGAACTATGGGGTCAGGGCTTTTCCCCATAGTACTCCTAAGGGTAACGGGAGGACACAAACTAGCGTTCTCCCGTGACCCAAAACTCAGTATAGCACGAGCTACAGCTCGCGGTATACTGAGACGCCGCAGCTGGGACGGATCCTAACAATACTGTCAGGATCCACCCAGATGCGTGAGTGACAGCTGGCTCTGCCTATCGCGAGGCAGAGCCAGCTGTATCCGCCCCCTCCCCTGCCCGTTCTGCCAGTCAGCGCTGGAGGATCGGACAGGGGAGGAATCCCTGCAGGGAGCCGTGAGTGTTAGTCACAGCTCTCTGCAGGCACAGGATCAAGAAGTGAGCGAGCGGCGTTATGTGTTCACTTCCCGATCTATTGAGACGACATGCAACAGTTTCATTGTCACACGTCGGCTCGAACTATGAGGCTGAGTGGTTTTACTCGCCTCATAGTTTTCCGTATCATCAAAAATACGACCTATCAGTTGCATAATGTTTCAATTACCATTGACCAATCCCTTTTACACACACAGCTTACTAGCACACACAATGGTGGCTCTCTAGAACCCTGCAAGGGAAAGAAGCTACCCTAAAACAGGACATCGGAGCTGATGACCAGCTGATTTTACAGGAAACTAAAACTTTTAAACATCACCGAGGAGCAGCATCCATTGATTTGAGCCAGTGATTTTAATCAGCAACTGAACTAGTTTAAAAAACTTTTTGGCTTTAATATCACTAAGTATTATGATGCAGCGTTTCCAGTTTATTAGCTGCAGGAATCATGATCTTTAAAAAAAAAATTCAACCTATTGGCGCAATAATGCACACCCCCACTGCGCTGAATATTTGCAAACTCATTTTCCGATTATATGGCGTAAATAATTATTTGGCGCGCTCCTAAAATTAGTGTTCTGTGTACCAAATATTGAATAGTTTATCTGGCCCAGTGTCAGAAATCTGTAATATACAGAAACAGGAACCATACCGCACTCCTTACCGGGATTCCCATTTGATGAAGATGGGTGCTCGAAATGACTGCGGATGGCACCTCCACACATGAACAATAGAAAAATTTCACCAGCACACCATAGGTTGAAAAAGCAAAATATTTTATTGCCAATAGCTGTATCTCATTGGCAAGCGCTTTCGGGGCCTCGCAGGGTCCCCTTCATCAGGCTTAGAGAAATCTGTAATATGACACATTCCTGCTCAGTGGATATCATGCATTAAAAAACACTGGTAAATATAGTGTTACAAGTCTTTGCATGCGATTCACTTGTCTGTATGCAAAAACACACAGACACACATGCTAAAGAGAGTCATTACAGAGCACAGAGGAAACTTTGTTCTGTCACGCCAGAATTCTCTGCTGCATAAGGAATGTAACACTGCATAGAGTGGTCAAAATTCCAGTTATACGCAAGATATCCAGGAACAAACTGACTAGCTTGATCCACCTTATTTTTCCGTGCATTCATCCAATGTCATATTAGGATAAACCAATGAAACTAACATGAAAGTTCACAATACTTACAAGAGAACTATGGGGTAACCTTTTTATCCCATAGTTCTCTTAAGGGTCACAGGTGGTTATATACTAACCTCCTCCCGTGACCCAAAGCTGGTTATATACTAACCTCCTCCCGTGACCCAAAGCTAAGTATATAGCGAGCTATTGCCCGCTATATGCCGAGAGCGCCGCAGCCGGGATGGACCCTGACAATTCTGTCGAGATCCACTCAGCTGCGTGAGTGACAGCTGGCTCTGCATTTCTAGAGGCGCCCGCCACCTACCCCGTCCATTCCTCCACTCAGCGCTGGAGGATCGGAGAGGGGAATCGCTGTGGGGAGCGGTGACTAACAGTCACCGCTCTCTGCAGGGAGATGATCGGAAAGTGAGCAAGCGGCAGTATGTGTTTGCTCACTTCCCAATCTATAGAGCCGACATGTTTCATTGTCGCACGTTGGCTCCAACTATGAGAATGGGTGTAAATCACTCGCCTCAAAGTTCTCCTTTCAGTTTCCTCTTTTTCACGGAGCTTTTTGTAGATACTCAACCTTATCACGTGCTTTATGTTACAGAAATAGCCTTCACACAGAGTTGCCTCAAAACAATATTTTTTTTATGGCTTGCACTGAACCCTTCAAACTTTAACCCCAACCCTAAAGCTGGCCATACACCTATAGATTATCTGCAGATTTTCTATAGTCTGATGGAAAACGTGCAAGAGATTCCTCCATCTACAGTACGCTAAACTGTGTGGATGGAGGAATCTCCCACTGGCCCTTGCTAGTTAGCCCTGCTGGCTCTGAAAATACCTGAACATGGTAACTGGATGCAGGCATTTTTCAGGGATTTTGAGAGCCAGCGGGGCGGACTAGCAAGATACAAGCTTGGCCCAGTGGGAGATTCCTCCATCCACACAGTTTAGCGTAGATGGAAGAATCCGTTGCACTTTTTCCCCCATCTGACCATAGAACATCTGTACAAAATCTATAGTCCGGCTGCATGATGCAAAGCTTTGCATAACAAAAAAAAGCTGAACTCCAGGAAGAGAATAAAAACTGCAGCCTCCATACTTTAGTATATGGTTTCCTTCAATCCACTTACGGACATTGCCATCTGTGTTAGAAGGGGAGTGTTCCCCTCCTCTGAGTCATTCATATCTTTGTTCAGCACAAAAGTTAGTCCTGGGACTTTACCCGCTGTGACTGGCTTAGAGCACCAACTGCTGACTGCAACTGGTGTGTATATTTATTTAATATGCAATATTTACTCATATAAAAATAATTAATAAATATGATTAAAAAGGTTTATGTTTTTAGTACCAAACAAATAAAAATATATAAAAACACCACATATTCTCTATAGAATAATATGTATACTTTATTGGCAAGCAAAGCATCTTACCTTCTGTGTCGTTAGTAAAATACATGGCTGATAACAGGGCAGAAGTGCAACCATTATATGTCTGTTTTGACATGCCATGTTGACAACACTATCATGTACTGATGGGACTTCTATTATGTTAAGCATTATCTACAATTAAAAGCCAGCTCCTCTCAAATCTGTATTTCATCTCTTCGTGGTTGCTGGAGAGTTGAATTACATAGTTCCTCATATTTGTTGTGAGCTCTAGTGATGGAAATTCCCCTATGCAGAGGTCATGCTCCCCCAGATGACACATTCACAGCTAAATACGGGAAGACCAGGGTTGAGAGAGTAATACCATCCTTCTGTTGTTGTGGGAAATAAAAAGGAAACTGACCACTGGAGCCTCCCATAGATTTAACAAACCAGTAACCAATGCAACCCAATAAAATAAGCTGCTTGGCCTTCCAGTGGATAAGTGTTATGATCTGGGTTCAGTTGGTCAGGTCTAAGTTCAGCAACATTATGGGGTTATTCACTTAGCTGCCGAAGGCTCTGCATGTTCGGCTGAGCCGAACTGCAGTAGGAGTTCGACTCAGCTGATCCAACATCCGGCGAAAAATATTTTAAAGAAAAAAAAAACGCATGCCAACCTCACAATTGGGCGGAGGCGGCTGTGACGTCAAACTCACCCCCTCTAACAAGTTTTCTTCTGCTTTAAATCCTACGATTACATATCTCCTACAAATCACTGCTGTGAGTTTGTGGAAGAGTCTCTTACTTTTTCCTATACCTATTTCTATATCACATTGATTAGGAGTTAATCATTCACACAGCCTGGAAACCATAGCTTCTGCAGACAGAGTTATGGTTCTCGACTCATTCAACCATGTTAAAAGAATGATTGCTATGTTTGAGAATCTTTACCAAAACTGGTCTCATCTACTTCTAAGGTTCCAAACAACTGTTCACCCAACACAGCTGCCAGCATGGCCTGCAATAGTAATTTTCGGTTTCTTAACCAGCTACCCTTATTTTTAGATACAGGATACAGAGTTACACGTTTGCTGAATAGTTTCTTGTGTTTCAAGATTTACTGATATAGAATAATATAGATTGTTTTGACCCTTAAGCTTTACCGAAGGGCCATTTCACATATGTGACAATTCACCAGCAGCAGGATCTCTTAAAAATTGTGCCACTACCTCCCTGACAGAAATGCTGCAGAATGTCATTCGCCAGGAATAGAACAATACCTCACTCCTCTCACCAGTGAGGTGGCATCAGTGGAAGTAGACAGGAGAGTATCACAAGTGTGACATCAGCCTAAACCATTCTTACTAGTGTTGGTTAGAGAAGGACTCCAACCAAAGCTATTTGTTCCTTTGACAGAAACTGGCAGGATTCCCACTTTAAAAAAGGCACACACTAGCTTGCTCCCCAATAAAGCACCCCTTATCCAACCTCAAGATGGCTGCCCCTAATCTAGCTTTGGTAAAGTATGCGTAAACAAAATCCCATTAGTCTCATTCATTATTTATTATTGTGTGAGGATATACACCATTACAGTATAGAGAAATGTAAACACTAAAGTAATTAAACCAAAAGGTAATCATTACTGTCACTATCACAGATAATTATAAATAGAAACACTCACGTTAAGGGATGAAATAGGGG